GCGTAGTACCATGTATGCACGTGTGTGTGAACGTGTGTGAGCGAAGCAGCTGAGCGCTGCATGTGGGTGCTCAAGTCGCAATGCGTTCGTGTGACACTTCACCTGTGGTGCAGTTGACGGCAACAAGGCCAACGGTTGTGTTCTCCCCTGCTTCGTCCTTAATGTCTTCACACAGGCAGCACAGGTACCCCGTCTGTCACAATCGCGCGCGTGTGTATGTGTTAGTGCGTGTGTATGCGTGGTGAGGATTCACTGCCAACAACAACAAGAACAACAACAACACACAGTAGACAGCAGGCAGTGCCGTCGTGTGTTGATGCAGACCTCATTGACGTCTGCCGCGTCATCGCCAACGTCAACATCCTCGCCAATCAGCGTGCCCTGATGATGATGATGACGATGATGATGATGACGACGACGACGATGATGATGATGGAAAGAGTATGTAACACGCAGGCGGTTGGCTACATGGGGGTTATCGTTTGCACATGAGCGCAACGACTGACCTTTGTGTACATGGCTGCGAGCTTGCGGGTGAAGGGTTTGCTCTTGTTCGCACTGGCTTTCTTCAAGGCAGCTGTCTCCGTCTGTTTCACAACACCAACCTGTCCCACGGGAAGGATAGAAGGGGAGGGGGAAAGCATGATGGCATCGTCACCAGTGTCCATGAGCAAATGATGTTGACACATGTTGGATGTGTGGGGCGAGAGAGAGAGAGAGAGCGCGCAAGAGAGAGTGTGTGTGCGTGCGTGCGTGCGTGTGTGTGTGTGTGTGTGTATGCGTGTGTGTGTGTGCGCGCGTGCGTGTGTGTGTGTGTGTGAGGGCTTGCAACTGCATATGTGTATATGCACATGGGTGCTTGCATGCGCTCGCTGGCAGACCTTGTATCCGGCATCAACGAGACGGCGCACGTGTACAAACAGGCGGTGCACGGGGATGCTGGCAATCTTGAAGTTGTTGTGTCCTGTTCATGTGCAAACGCGGCATTGCAGCAACACATGTGAGGGCGAATGAGGTTTGGCACAGACAGCCAAAACAAGCCAGCACGTGGAGCTATTGCCCACACGACCGACCAGGAAGCAGGCTTCAACACCAGCACACAGCGCAGCGCACAACATGACACGACCTGACGCGCAGAAGATGTTGAGGACATCGGCAGCAATCTCCGCATCGCGACCGAAGAACTGATACTGTTGGTACGTACACACGCACAAAAAGCCCGTGAGAGCTCATGAGAGCGCGAACACATGCAAGACACACACGGACACACACGGACACACGCCCACACGGACACACACTCACACACGCCCACACACACACACACACACACACATACACAGACGGACGGACGGCAAGCAACCGACCTTGTATCCAACCTCCACCAGCAGCACCGAGTTGGGATGCTTGCGCTTCACGTCCAAGAACCTGTTGCGTGTGTTGTGCGCGCGGGTGTGTGCGCGGGTGTGCGCGTGTGTGTTGCGGGAGATTTGCGGGGCCGTTGGATTGGGGTATTGGAACCATCGCACAGCTTGGGATAGGAGAAGAGGTGACCAGGTCATTCCACCCTTACTGTTGTTCGAGCGGCGTGAGCTTGGCGCCTTTGGGGACCTCAAAGCCAGGCAGGCCTGTGGCGCTTTTGCGCTGCTTGTGTGTGTCTGCCCGCAAGAACGAGTGCACATCCAGCTCTGTCGCAAGAATGCAAGCCAAAGCATGCGTTCATGCACGTGAGCAAGCGAGCAAGCAAGTGACTTGAGCTTGTGTGGAGTGAGTAGTGCGTAGTAGTGTGGTCGCTGCTGGGGGTGCGTCGCGGTTGAGCTGGCAAGGTGGTTCAGAATGCTGGTCGCACTTGCGCTTTTCTCGGGGACAGGACTCAGCTCCACTTTGCGCTTTGCGCTTGATGTGGCAATGTCTGGTTTTGCGCCGGCCACCGCCGGCTTGCTTGGGGTGCTGGCGCGATCTGTCTTGGCTGCAATCGTGACCATGCCACGCACATGCTATGAGCGCAAAGGAGAGGGAGACACGACAGGGACAGAGGGACAGAGGGACAGAGGGGCAGCGGGACAGAGGGGAGAGAAAGACAGGGGCGTGCGGGCATGTACGTCGAGGCACAAAGGAGGATGGAGAGGGACAGAGAGGGACAGAGAGGCGCATCAACGATGGACGCACACACCCACACACACATCCACACCCACACACACATCCACACACACGCACACACACACACACATCCACACCCACACCCACACACCCACACCCACACCCACCCCCCCCCCCCACACACACCCACACACCTCGCTTTGTGGAAGGGAGGAAATCGCTCAGTGCATCCACTGCTTTTGTAATCTTTGGGGAGAGAGGAGCGGCAGGCTTGGTGGCCTGGCTTGTCGTGCCGTTGGTCCCGTCACCATTGCTTGACGCACCGCCAAAGAACTTGGAGGCACCCGTGCTGCTGCCGCTGCTACTGTTTGCACTGGTGGAGCTGGCCTTCTTTGCTTTGGCTGCCACCGCCTTTTTGCGCGCAAAGAACCGGGAGATGGAGCTCTGCTTCTGCTTGTTGCCACCCATCGTTGTTTGTTTGTTGTTGGTTGTTGGTGCAACAGGTGCTCTCCTCTCACGTCAACATCAATCAAGGTGCACCACGCACTCTTGCTTGCCTGCTGTGTCTCACGTTGTTGTTGGTTGGCGAGCTCGTTGTGATGTGACTGGCGCCAAAAAACTGCCTACTGCACTTTGTCGTGTTCTCAACCAGTTGAAACGACGACAGCATGAAGTGTGCGGGATGGTGAAAATTTTGTGTGGTGCGAGCTGGAAAAAGGCGCAGGCACATGCAGTCAGCGAGCGCGTCTGCCGTGCCTTTTTCCTCTTGTGCTACCACCAGCCCATACCCAGCACACACAGACCACACGATGTCGAGCTCGGCTGTGAAGTTCTCTCCCCCAGCTCCCCAGGAGCCCCGCGGCGATGTCGCGTACGGCCTCGTCCGTGGCCACAAGGTCACCAAGATGAAGGCTGGCCAGAAGGCTCACCGCGGGGTAAGTTGATCCACCGGGCCTGTGCTGTGTTGTGTGGTTATGAAGCAGGGATTGCACATGAGGTCGAGTTGCCTGTCATCATCATCATCAGCATCGCATGCAGCCGATACAAGACCAGACGACACGAGACGAGACGAGATGGTGATTGCGCGGCAAAAGAACGGCAGGCTGTTTTTGTTTTCGAGTGCATGTGCTGCTTTACGAGTTTGGAGAAACAGCCACAGCCCGCGTGAGATGGAAGACTTGTTGCGGTTGCTACGATGAGGACCAGCCATGTGCTTGATTGTCGTTGATGGTGGTGCCGCTTTAGACTTCAGCACAGACGACAGCATGTCGAGGCGAAGATGGTTTCTGGCTGATGCTTGGTTGAGAGGGACGGAATGTTGTTCGAAGAGGCAACAAGCCGACCCAGTGGGCTGCCGTCACATGTCGCGCACAGAAGGCTGCAGCATCTCACACCGCGTTTTTCGTCTGTGCCACGTGCCACGCTCGAGTGACCATTCTCTCACTCCACTCCGCTTCCCCTCTCGCTCCTTTCCTGCCTGCCTTTTTGATTTGTCTTGTGCCTTTTCACAGCCTGCCAAGCGCACAAAGTTTGTGCGTGACGTGATCCGTGAGGTTGCTGGCTTTGCTCCCTACGAGCGCCGCTGCATGGAGCTTCTCCGTATTGGTGCTGACAAGCGCGCCCTCAAGTTCTGCAAGAAGAGGGTTCGTTGACATGCTGTGCGTGTATGTATCTATGTATTGCATCTATGTATGTGTGTGTGTGTGCGTGGAAGCGTTAGAGACTGTGTTGAGTTGTGCCCTTGCCACATGCCCGTGCGCTTGGGTGTGCGAAGGGAGATGTGTGAGTGTGCGTGTGTGCGCTTGTGTGTGATTGGGATGGTGTGCGCCGTGTGTGTGTGTTCTTTGTGGTGTGGCGCGTGGCGTATGGTGGTGAGCGTCTTCTCTCTTCTCTGTGCACCACGGCGTTGTGCAGTTCCTCGTTTTACCCCACACCACCCTGCCACACATCGCTCACACCTCGCTCACACCACCACCACCACCATTTGCGTCGCATCCGCGCCATACCACCCCCACTGGACACCACCAACACACACAGCTGGGCACTCACAAGCGTGCTAAGAGAAAGCGTGAGGAGATGAGCGCTGTTCTCGTCGCTATGCGCAAGGCCGCCCAGCGCAAGGAGGCTGCCAAGGAGTAACTGCACCCATTCAACACATACCCTCTCCTTTTGTTTTGTCTGGTTGTTCCAGTTGCACACTCTGTACTACTCCTCGGTTGGTTTGGACATGATACCCCACCATGTCCGCTTCCCCTTTGCTGCTGCTGTCTCGTCTTGTAAAACGCGAAGCAAACTTGCCAGTGTGCAAATAAGTTAAGATGGAAGAAAGGAGGGGGAGGGAGGAGGGGCGCTCGGTAAGAGGTGGTGTGCGCAAACAGACAACACACGTCGCACAGAGCAAAAGCAGGATTTTGTGCTGTCGCACCACCAAATTCAACCCACGAGGAACACGCTGCTGCACATGCGCACACACTTCACCACATTTGACAGCCACAAACAGCAGCATGCCGCGACACAGGCGCAACAACAAAGGGAAGAAGAAGAAGGGAGGTGGCAAGGCCTCGTCACAGCAGCAGCAGCAGCAACAACAGCAACAGCAGAGGAGAGATCAGGAGCAGCAAAAAGCGGGTCAGAAGAACAACGCCGATGCAGTGAAGAACGCTGTCGCGCCTCTGCTGGTGCAGTTGGCAGATGAGGCCGCTGCAGCGCGGCACCTCGCCTGTAACAGTCTCGCACACATCACTGCCGATCCCGCAGCACATGCACCACTGCTGGAAATGGGCATTGTGGAGCCGCTTCGAGCAGCGCTCAACGACTCGGAGAACCTCCCCGTACAGGCAGAAGCCGCCGGCTGCTTCAGGTGTGTGTATGTGTGCGCGCGCGCGTGTGTACGTGTGTGTACATTTGCGCATGTGTGTGCGTGTACGCGTGTGTGTATGTGTGTGTACATTTGCGCATGTGTGTGCGTGTACGTGTGTGTGTATGTGTGTGTACATTTACGCATGTGTGTGTGCGCGCACATGACCACGCACATAGTCACTGTTCTCTCCGCACCCGACTAACTTGCTTTGCTTCATCAACATGTTCGCGGTGATGCATGACAGGAATCTCGCCACAAGCAGCGATGACAGCATTCTGGGGCACGTCTTTGACGATGCCACACAACACACCCTCAGCACCGTGTTTGCAAAAGTGAGCCCTCACGCACAGCGCGTATGCCCATGTACGTGTGCCTGTCATTATCGCTCTCCACTCACATTCACACTCACACACTCGCACACACACACAATCACACGGTCTGTCTCTCTCTCTCTCTCTCACACAATCACACGGTCACACACACACGCACGCACACACACACACACGCACGCACACGCACGCTGCGTGCCATTGCTTGTGCTGATAGCGTGTGTCGGAGATTGAGCAGACAGTTGCGGAGGCCGACGATGAGCACAAACTTCACTTCTTTGATGTCTTGGAACAGCTCTGCAAAATCTTCAGCCTCCTGTGGTGCGTGCGTGCTGTGCGCTGTGTCGGTGTGCTTGTCCAACGTTGGCGCCTTTGGATTCTGTTTCTGCGTTGCTCACCCTCACCCCGCTTCGACATACGGTATGCAGCGAAACGAATCCCATGATGGTTGAGGCCATCACAGCGGCACCTGACATGCTTGCCAACATGGTGGCGTGCATGCGGCCCAGTCTCCTTCCACTTCCCCTCTGCATCAACGCAGGTGCGCATTGCTCAGTGACGCGTGCACGTGCAAACCACCGTCACACCACCAACCGCTCGCACCGGACAGGCGTTTGCACAGCACACTGCCAACTTGCCGGGCTTTGCACCACACTGTCATGCCACACTGTTGCGCCACATACATTTTCCCTTTTCCTACCTGTCCCCTGCAGCGCTCACGCTTTTCTCGTCATGCAACAGCATCGTCCCTGCTGGTCATCTCCGAGGACAACGCGGCGTTTTCAGAGTGGTTGGTGGGAAACACGCAAGCACAGCAGCATCTCGTGTCGCTTGTTGCGGCCACCGCCACAGAACCTTTCACTGCAGAGCTGCGCCTATCAGCGGCAGGTGAGGGACCGCTGCGTGTGTATTTTGTGGATATGCCGGGTGTGCATGTATGTGAGTGTGTGTGCATGTGAGTGTGTATGTGAGTGAGTGTATGTGTGTGTGTGTGTGCGTGTATGATCAAACAGGTGTGGTTCGGAACTTCAGAGGCGCTCGCTTTTCAAACGACACGAGTGCCCGCTGGAGACATGCCTTGCCTTTGCTGCACACCCAATCCCCTCGTGCCTCACTCACCACTCATCGCCGCCGCCGCCGCCACCACCATCACCATCGTCGCCACCCCTGAGCAGGCGTACTTGCTAATGCGCGCGCCACGGACAACGAGGAGACGCTTGGCGCTGTTGTTGCGTGTGCCGGCACCGTCTTGGACGAAGACACACGCGCGGCGCTCACCGCCCTCGTTCCCGTTCTGCCGCAGGCTCGACAGGCCGAACAGAACAACTTTGTCGCAGACGAAAGCGTGAGCGAGCGATTATGTGTGAGTGTGTGTGTGTGTGTGAGTGAGTGGGTGGGTGGTGATGGGTGTTTGAGAGTAAGTGAATGAGTGAGTGGGTGTAGCAGACAATGCATACGTTGTTGTGTTTTACGTTGTTGTTTGCATGTGAGCGTGTTGGTTCACGCATCACGATTGGTATTTGTTGCAGGTTCAACTTGCTGCTGTCAAGAGCAACATCCGCGCACAGCGCCTCGCCTTGGAAATCCTGACCAACATGCTGTGCCTCTCCTCGCCAGGTCTGCTCAACACAGAGAGAGAGTGTGTGTGTGTGTGACAGAGAGAGAGACAGAGACAGAGACAGAGACAGAGAGAGAGAGAGAGACAGACAGATAGAGAGAGACAGACAGACAGAGAGAGACAGACAGACAGAGAGAGACAGACAGAGAGAGAGAGACAGAGAGAGACAGAGAGAGACAGACAGACACACACACACGCACACACTCAAACACACCGGCACACACATACACACACACGCACGCACGAACCTCTCCTCTCACCCTGTTCTCATTCGTATCAGATGAGGAGTGGACGGTGATTGACGAGGATGCAGATGACGATGATGCTGCGATGGCGATGATGGAGGAGGAGGAACAACAGCAGCACGGCAGCATGGACGCAGAGGCCGCTGCGCGCATGGAGATGCTCTTTGCACACATGGACCAACATGCCATCTTCAGCAAGGTGTGTGGTGGCAAGTGTACATGTGCATGTGCGCTTCTACTTGTGAGCGAGTCAGCGAGTTTGTGAGTGAGTTTGTGAGCGAGTTTGTGAGCGAGTGCATGCCTATGCGTCAGTATGTGTCGGTGTGAACGCGTTTGCGTATGCGTGTGCGCCATGCCCGCATGTGCTCTCATTCGCTGGTAATCACGGTGTCCACCGTGACCTCTCCACTGCCATCGCTCGTGCGTCCCAACAGGTGCTGGCGCGGTGCCAACCGCTTGATGCCACCACCCACTCCTGCTTCACCAAGCTCGGCGATTGGGGCCAATTGCAGCTCAACCAGGTGCGGCTGTTGTCTGTGTCGGGGTTGGTGTTGACTGTGGAGCGCAAGGGATTGGATGTTGGTTGACTGACTGTCTTTGCCATAGAACATGATTCTTTCCGCGCAGCAAACGCATTCACCATACACACAAACACACAACGCACAATACACACATGCATTCACACATGCATTCACACCGCCACCACTTGGCTTGCAGTTCCACATGCTGCTGCAAGCTGCAGTGAACATGATCAACAACATCACGTCGGCTGGGGAGCGTGGCGTGCGCTGCTTCGGTGATCTCGGCGCCCTCTGGCTTGCGTGTTTCTCCCTCTTCCAACACTCAAACAAGGACATTGTCCAGGTCGGCACACAAAGACGCGAGAATGTGCATATGTCGTCGTGCATTAGCGCTCATGCACACTTGCGTGTTTGTGCGTGTCTGGTCATTTGCATGCGTGCCATCGTTACCACATTCGATGCCCTGTGCGACTCTTTAAATTTAAACAATATTGCCCAATTGCCTCGATGCCCCTCGTCGCCTCCTTATCCTCTCCACGCCTCTACTATCCTCTTCAGAGCGCAACAACGGCGGCGTGGTCTGTGCTGCGAACTGCACTCACCAGTGATGAAATCCGCCAGGGCATGGTGCGTCTCTGCTGCTGCTGGTCGTTGTATTCGTTGTGGTTTTGTATGCGTGCGTGTGTGCGTGCGTGTGTGCGTGTGTGTGTGTGGATATGTGCATGAGTTAGTTGCTTCCATTGCAGTTGCGCGCGTGTGTGTGTGTCCGTTGTTTGCACACGCATGCCCCACCTGCCATTTGCAGCTACGCCTGACATGTGTGTACTCTTTGCGTTGATGCCTTGGTCACTGGCAGCAAATTCCGCGGGAGCACCTTGAAATTGTGTTTCTGGTGAGACGCGTTGCAATCTGCACGCGTACGTGTGTGTGTGTGTGTGTGTGTGTGTGTGTGTGTGTGTGTGTGTGTGTGTGTGTGTGTGTGTGTGTGTGTGTGTGTGTGGTTCTGCGTCCGTGCACGGTAGCGAGCGAGTGAGACATGGTTGTTACGAGCCATCAGTCCGTACGATGGGTGCATATCTGACAAGTGTGTATGTGGGTATATTTTTTCGTGTGCGTGTGTGTGCCTGTTATGTTCATACATGCATGTGGCACGCATCTCGCAGGTTGCCTCTGACTCGTCGTCGCCAGAGGAGGCGCGCACGGCGTGTGTTGGCGTGCTCGCGTGTGTTTCGCAGCTGCCGGCAAACAAGCAAGACCTCGTGGACCTGGGCAAGGCAATCGCACACGCCGCAGCCACCGACCCGTCTCCCTGGTGTGTGTGTGTGTGTGTGTGTGTGTGTGTGTGTGTGTGTGTGTGTGTGTGTGTGTGTGTGTGAATGTGCGTGTGTGTGTGTGTGTGTGAATGTGTGTGTGTGTGTGAATGTGTGTGTGTGTGAATGTGTGCAAGGGTTTCTGTGATCTTTGTTTATGCTTTTATTTTTGTTTTGCGCCACCAACCTCACGCGTGTCTCTGCTGCGTGTATATGCCAGGGTGCGCATGGAGGCGATCAATGGAGTCTTCGATGCGTTTGCAGAGGCCGACGTCAACCAAGAGGTATGCGCGCCGCACAAGGGGCTGGGATGGACACATGATGTGACTTCACACACCCACGCGAGTGGCCGAATACACACACACACACACATACACACACACGCTTGTCATGCACCTCTCACGCGTGTTGGTGTGCTGTTCCTGCCCCTTTTGTTGGAAGTACATCGCATCTGGCCTGGCGGAGACGGTGCCCAAGCTCTTGGCAAACACGCGCGTTGAGGTGGGTTGCCCAGTCCCATGTCGATGTCATTGTGGCATTGCGCTTTAGTGTGTTCTCGTGCTTGCTTGCTCGCTCTTGCTTGCGTGTATGCTTGGCCGCGCAGCCTATGGTGGATGGCACCTCCTTCCTCGTGCTGGCATCTCACCGCTTGGTTAATCTCCTCCCGCCCCAAACACATACACCCCTCAGCGTGGCATGCCACCGGACCTCAAGGCGCGCGTGTCTGAGACGCGCTTGAACCTCAAGCGCTTCATCGAGTACAAAAATGCACAGTAACACACGCACATGCGCACTAGACCTCGCACCATTCCTCTCCACCTCTGTGTCTCTTCCAGTCTCTCTCTCTCTCTCTGACTCTGGCACATCCCCCCCCCCCTGGTGGCTTGGGTTGTGCTTGATCGTGTATTGGTCAACTGAAGCTTGAAACTTGCCTCGACGCACAGCCAATGGGAAATCCACGCAGTGTACACGCAGACGCACGTACAGACGCACCGGATACTTGCAGATACACGCAGATACAGGGGCGAAAACGGACGGTTACAATGAATCGCGTGGAGAGTGGGGGTGGGGTTAGGAGTTAAGGGACAAGGGGTGAAGGGGGGGTGGAATTGGGGAAAGAGCGGGCAACTGTCAGGTCACAAATAGGTTAGCAGTACTTCTGTTAGCGATTGAGTGAGTGGAAATAAGATTGCGGGGCGTGGGGGAATACATATGAGGGACAGAAAGGGATTTCCATGGTGCTGCCTGTCGTTGACGAGGCGTCATCGGTAGTTTGGGCTTGGGGTGCGTCCGGCAACGCCGCTTGGGTCATAGTGTTGGCTGGCGTTGATAGACTTCTCCTTTTTCTTCTTCCTCTTCCCATCGTCTTGGAGGTTGGGCACCACGCGGGAGAGTTTCTCGGCGCACGAGCGCACGAGGGCCCGGCGCTGGCGCTCGGCAGGCGTCGCGCGGCTGGGAACCGGGCGCATGCTCAGCTGCTGAAGGAGGTTTGCGTCAGCGCACACGCACCGGCGGTTAACCTTCAGGCACATCATGCACACGGGTTTGCCGCGAAACAGCCTGCGCAAGTCCTTCTCGCGCGTGCTCCTGTCCTTGAGCATCTCCTCTGCGGCGATGACGGCATCCGTGAGGTCCAAGTCGTCGCAGTCTGGATCTCGGCCCAGCTCCTTGATGGCCTTCTTCCACGCCTTGCGGTTTGCCTCGTCCATGCTGTTGGCGTTCTTTAAGTCCTTGGGATGGCGTTGCAGCAGCAAGGAGAGGAAGCGTAAGAGTCAATTCAAGCAAGGCACGTCTGAACGTGGATGACACCAGGTTTGTTCACGCGTTGCGTTCGTTTGTGGGCACTCATGTGTGATATGCCAGCCTGTCATGTGTGGTTTGCTTTGCTGGCCGAGGTGTGACTTACAAGTGGACAGTCGTTGTGGGTGGTGGTCACTGGTCAATCAATGTTCACTGTTCACTGGTCGCTGTTCGCTGGTCACTGGTCACTGTTCACTGGTCACTGTTCACTGAGACTGTTCACTAAAACTGTTCACTGTTCACTGGCTGTGGTAGGGGCTGTTGAGGTACCGGGAGAAGGAGGAGAGGTGGGGGAAGACAACAGGGAAATGGCCCACTTTCACGCGCAAGTGGAGCTTGCTGTCAGTTACGTGCGCGCTTGCGTGCGCGTGTCTTCCTTCATGTTGCAGCTTGCCTCTGTTCTGGGTAGGCCACGTGAGCAAGCGCACGCAGTGAACAAGGGGCAAATGATAAAAAATGTGGGGTCGTGGCACGCACGTGAGCAGATGTGGACGCGTGTGTGTTTCACTGTGAACAATAACGTTCTCCGCCCCAAGCAAAAAGGCAAGGCCGGTTGGAGCACGTGGTCGTGTCAAATCATCATCGCCACACCCCACTCTCACATGCAGTGTCGCGGCTGCCACGTTCGCATGCGGCTGCTGTCCTGCGCGCGGTTTTGTTCTTCGTGTGCTTGCTCAAGATCCAGTGGTTCAAACAGTTGGCGGAGGAAGATTTGCCATGGCAATGTCAAGTTTGCCTTTAAAGTGAAATTGCGCAATGGGCGACACAAAGTCAAAATCGCCTTTTACACCAAGCGAAGAACAAGGAAGAGCAACACACGCCAAGAAGTTGTTGCGTGAGGACCACAACTATCATCACCACACCACCACCACCCGATATGCCTGCAGAGATTATCGACGGCAAGGCCATCGCAAAGTGAGCACAGGATATGCGCATGTGGTCGTGTGTGTGGTTGTATGTGTTTGTGTGTGTGTGTGTTGGGGTTTTGTTGTGCACATTTGTGTGTGTGTGTGTTTGTGTTGAGGTGGGGAGTAGCTGTTACCGCAGTCAAGTACATGAATGGACGGAATGTGTGAGGTGTTGTGCTTGCAGCGGCCCGCCCACTCCACTGACATACATCGTCTGCACATGTGCACTTGGCCTTCCCTCGCCGTCCTTTGATGTTAACGTGTGACACTCCTCTGTGCCTTTTTTTTTGCCGCAAGGGAGCTGAGGGAGAGCCTCAAGCAGCAAGTGCAAGAGCTTCAGAAAGAGTTCCCCGGCTTCCAGCCACAGCTGGCCATCGTCCAGGTGCGCACGCTCTGGATGCTACGCAGCGCACTTAAACACACGCACGCACACACACACACACACACACACACATACACACACACACACACACACACACACACACACACACACACACACGTGCGCACGCACATACGCGCCCACGTGCGCACGCACATACGCACACACACGCACGCACGCACATACGCACACACACGCACGCACGCACACCAACTCGCGCACACGCCACCTTTTACACACACACACATTCACATCATACACATGCCTTGGGCTTTTGGGTGTGCTTGATACAGGTTGGCGGACGTGCTGACTCTGACGTCTACATTCGCATGAAAGTCAAGGCCGGAACAGAGGTGTGTTGTCGCTTGCCCATGCTGCACATCCCCTTTGGCGCTGTTGGGCCCATGCATTGGCACCGTGTACCAGCCGTGCTTCGTGATTGCAGCACAGCCACTACATTGAGCTCACCAATGCCACACTTGTTTTTGAACGTCTTCTTGAACCGTCTATGTCATACATGCGTAGGCTGGCCTTCGCATTACCCACAAGCAACTCCCACGCAGCACCACCGAGTCTCAGGTCAGCGGGCGCCCTTCCCTTCCTTGTGTACACGTGCGTGTGTGCCACCTTCGCCATCCCTGATGTCTCACACCCTACGCCTCTGTGCATGTGTATGCATGTGTGTGCATGTGTGCAGCTGTTGGAGGTGATTCGCTCCTTCAACGCGCAGAGCGACGTCCACGGCATCATTGTGCAGCTTCCGCTGGACACGGACCAGGAGATTGACGAGGTCACCATCACCAACGCAGTCGACCCAGAGAAGGACGTCGACGGGTCAGTAAACGATTGTGTTATGTCGTGTGTATGCGAATGCACGTGTGTGTATGTGTGTATGTGAGTGAGAGTAGGTGAGTGAGTGAATGTGAGAGTATGTGTGTATGTGTGTATGTGAGTGAGTGAATGTGAGAGTATGTGAGAGTGAGCGAGTGAGTGAGGCAGCGAACGCACCAGCCCATGAGCGAGTGAGTGTGTACACAGTTAGTCAACCATTCCACAGCGACCATGCACATGCTGCTTGCACGAGTGCACACACTTCCCACCCCTCATACCCCCTTGCTTGCTGCTGACACGCTGCATCACCACGCGTTATGTGCTGCTGTCTTTCTCAACCTCGTGCACAGGTTCACCCGCTTCAACACCGGCGCTCTTGCCAAGAAGGGCGAGCTCCCACGCCTCTACGCCTGCACCCCCAAGGGTTGCATGCACCTCATCGAGTCCACAGGTCAGCATGTCACACCACGTGCGCGTTGTGCACGCCACTGGGCCGTGTTGTCGATGTCACTCTTCCTTCGTTGTAAGCACCTGCATTACACTCGTTCGTGTGTGTGTGTGTCTGCGTGTGCGTGCATATGTGTGTGTGTGTTTGTTTGTGTTGGCTTGTGCGCTGCCACAGTTGAAAGAAGCAGCAGGACGCAGGACCTTATCCCTGCATTCAACTGGGGCGGGGGCAACTTGTCTGCACGCTGGTTGTGTTGTACGCTGTAGGCATTGAAATCTCTGGAAAGAAGGCTGTGGTGATTGGACGCAGCGATATTGTTGGCCGCCCCATTTCCCAACTGCTTCTGCGCAAGTCTGCCACCGTCGTCATCTGCCATAGCAGATCCCAAAACATCGAGGTGTGCGTGTGCGCGTGTGTGCGTGTGTGCGTGTGTGCGTGTGTGCGTGTGTGCTTGCGCGCGCGCGCGTGTGTGTGTGAAGACGATGTTACTCACGTCACCGTGCATGACTGCTTCTCCCCGGGTGTTCTCTGTTCAACATTTGATGACAGGACGAAGTTCGCTCCGCTGATATTGTCGTTGCCGCCGTTGGAAAGCCAGGCCTCGTTCAGGTGTGTGTGTGTGTGTGTGTGTGTGTGTGTGTGTGTGTGTGTGTGTGTGTGTGTGTCGGAGGCTGGGCCTGCTCGGTTTCCCCGTTTAACAGCACCAGACACGAATGACCACACGCCCACCGCACAATGCAGGGTGCATGGATCAAGCCCGGTGCGGTTGTGATCGACTGCGGCATCAACCCAATTCCCGACAGCACAAAGAAATCCGGCCGTCGTCTCGTCGGTGACGTCGAATTCGACGCTGCAAAGGAGGTTGGTCTGGTCTGGTCGGAGCCTGTCTGGTAGGGTGGTGTGGCGTAGCGGTAGCGTGGCGTGCAACGTGCTATTGGAACATGCTTTTTGACGCGTAGGATATGCGGTGTGATATGTGCATTGCGTGTGGAACGTGAGTTGCCTCAGCAACTTACTCTACCGCACAGCCAACGTCTGCTCTTTCTTAGGCCCCACTGCTCACTGTGTGTGTGTGTGTGTGTCTGTATTTAGGTTGCTGGCTTCATCACGCCCGTGCCCGGTGGTGTTGGCCCGATGACTGTTGCAAAGCTGCTTGAGAACACCGTCATTGCCGCGCGCTATGCGGTGACGCCGCGCCCGTGGTCCCTGCGTCTCCTCACCCCAACCATCCAGCGGTGTGTACGTGTGTGTGAGCGTGCTTGTGTGTGTGTGTGTGTGTGAGCGTGCTTGTATGTGTGTGTGTGTGTGTGCATGTGCGTACACGCGTATGTGCGTTCATTTGCATGCCCACGCATCCGCTTGTCCACACATTCTCACATCCTCGCATCCTCCGTGGTGCAGCCCTGTGCCGAGCGACATTGAGATTGCGCGCCGCCAGCCGCCAAAGCTCATCTCCCTCCTCGCCTCTGAGATCGGCATCCTCCCCACCGAGGTCCGCCCTTGTTGTTTGTGCTTGGTGTGCGTGTGCTTTTGGTGTGTGTGCTTTTGGTGTGTGTGTGTGTGCTTTTGGTGTGTGCTTGGTGTGTGTTGTCTGCCACTTGATTTGCCGTTGACGCGTACAATAATCCTCACGCATCCGTTCCCTGTTGACACGCGTGCATATGTGCATGTGTGCATGCATGTGTACGACGACAGCTTGACCTGTACGGGCAGTTCAAGGCGAAGGTGCGCATGTCGGTGCTGGACCGCCTGCGCCACCGCCAGGACGGCCGCTACATCGTCGTCACGGGCATCACCCCAACCCCGCTCGGTACGACGTGGCTAGTGGTGGCGGTACTCATGCTGCTGATGCTGCATATTTTACATGGGCACGGTTGTGTACTCGTGGACAGCAGTACATGCCTTTTCCTCCGCCATGCGCCTTGTCGTCCGTCTCACATCCGTCATCCCCCTCCCACACACATTTGCACACACACACACACACACACACACACACACACACACACACACACACACACACACACACACGACGCGTACGCACACCACGAATCGTAGGGGAGGGCAAGTCTACCACGACGGTGGGCGTTGCGCAGGCGCTGGCTGCCCATCTCGGCCGCAACACATTCGCGTGTCTGCGCCAGCCATCGCAGGGCCCCACGTTTGGCATCAAGGGTGGTGCTGCTGGCGGCGGCTACAGCCAGGTGCCTCCACATGCGTCTCTCGCCCACTCGTTGCTTTTCTCCTTCTTTGGTGTCATATCCGGCCCCGCGCGCGCGCGCGCGTGTGTGTGTGTGTGTGTGTGTGTGTGTGTGTGTGTGTGTGTGTGTGTGTGTGTGTGTGTGTGTGTGTGTGTGTGTGTGTGTGTGTGTGTGTGTACGTCACTACAGCATCTCACCTCGCTTTACTTGGGCTCACCGCTGTTGCTTTGCGTTGATTACGCTGCGTCCATGTGCATTGCATGTGTGTGCGTGTATTTGTGTATGTGTGCGTGTATGTGTGTATGTGTGCGTCTCTGTTTTGCAACCAGGTGATTCCCATGGAGGAGTTCAACCTGCACCTGACCGGTGACATCCATGCCATCACTGCCGCCAACAATCTCCTCGCCGCAGCCATCGACGCCCGCATGTTCCACGAGTCCACCCAGTCCGACGAGGTGCGCGTGTGTGTATGTGTGCATGTGCGTGCGCATATGTTTATGGGTGCTGCACTCCTTTGATGGCATATGCCCCGCCATTCTGAGGCGTACTCACGCTTCCACCTCCACCTCCCTCCATCTGCGCCCCCCAGGCCCTGTACCGCCGACTTGTCAAGGACAACAAGTTCAGCGACATCCAGCTCAAGCGCCTCCAGGTGTGTTCATGATGGCGTGGCGGCGTGGCCTCGTTGATTGTGAGGGTGATTGGGTGTGGTTGCATATGTATGTGTGTGAGTAAGTGTGTGAGCGTGTGAGCGTGTGAGTGTGTGAGTGTGTGAGTGAGAGAGTGTGTGTGTGCGTGTGTAAGTGCGTGTGTGTGTGTGTGCGCGTGTACTGTCTGTGCGCGTGTTAAGTTGCGAGCATGCATTTCCGACCACCACTGACACCGTCTCGCCACGACCATTCATCCATGTGCCGCAGAAACTCGGCATCAGCGCAACTGACCCTGAGGCGCTGACGCCCGAGGAGCGCACCCGCTTTGTCCGCCTCAACATCGACCCAGACACCATCACCTGGCAGCGCGGTGCGTGTCCTTCTCCCCTGCACTGAGCCATGTTCCCCACAATATGTGTGTGTGTGTGTTTGTGCTTGTTTGTGTTCGTTTGTGCTTGTTTGTGTCCGTTTGTGTGTGTTTGTTTGTGCATGTACATGCATCTTCAAGCGTGGTCCTTTCTCGGTGTGCTCTGCCCAACCTCATTTTGTCGGTCTCTCTTCCCTGCCGTTTACATGTTTGCATCCCCGTTCGTGTGCTCACCTTTGCTGCTGCGTGCAGTGATGGACACCAACGACCGTTTCCTGCGCAAAATCACCATCGGCCAATCGCCAACGGAGAAGGGCCGCACACGCGAGACCCAGGTGCTGCACACCTCCCCTCTGTTCTATTCTCGCTTTCTGTGTGTGTGTGTATGTGTGTGTGTGTGTGTATGTGTGTGTGTGTGTGTGTGTGTGTGTGTGTGTGTGTGTGTGTGTGTGTGTGTGTGTGTGTGTGTGTGTGTGTGTGTGGTCGTGCACATGGTCGTGCACATGTGTGGTGCCAGAATCCTGGCTTCAATTTTTCACTCTGCTTTCAGTCATGTGCGTGCCTGTGTGTGTGTGTGTACCTGCATGCAGCATGCCAGAACACAGCTTGCTCGTGCTATTGCTCACCTCCCCCCTGTTTATCCCACTGTGTGGTGCAGTTTGACATTGCCGTGGCCTCTGAGCTGATGGCCATCCTCGCACTCTCCACCAGTCTTGCTGACATGCGCGCACGCATGGACAAGATTGTCGTCGCCGCAGACACGGAAGGTGCGTGCGTGCGTGTATGTGTTTGTGCGTATATGTGCGCGTGTGTATTAGTATGCTTATGTGTATGTGTGTGTATGTGCTCGGTGCGTTTCTTTATTGTCTGGTTTCTGCACATACTTGTCTTGTCTCTTGTTGCTCACACCACCCACCAACACATCGCTGCTTCCCCCGCCGCCACCACCACCACCACCTGTTGCACGATGGCGCCAGGCAACCCCGTGTCTGCTGCTGATCTCGGTGTCTCTGGCGCGCTCGCCGTTCTCATGAAGGACACCATCATGCCCACGCTCATGCAGACCCTCGAGGGCACTCCCGTATGTGCCGTTGTGTGTGCGTGCGTGTGTGCGTGCGTGTGTACTTTGTGTGTGTACTTAGTGCGCGCACACGTGTGTGTGTGTGTGTACTGAGGGTGCGTATGTGTACATGGTGCCGTGTACATGGTGCATGTGGTGTGCGCCCGCTTTTGTTTTGGGTGATTGCGTTGCTTGCATCCCAGATGTTGGTTCTCACAAACGTTGTTTGATGGCACGTTGGGTTTGGTTCAGGTGTTTGTGCACGCTGGCCCGTTTGCCAACATTGCTCACGGCAACTCTTCAATCATCGCTGACAAGGTGTGTACAGCGTGGAGCGAAGAAGCCAAGACAACCTTCACATGCACCTGTCTCATGGCTGCTGTTTCACCTGCTGTGCACTCGCCTTTGAACAGCTCACACACCCTTTCACCTCGTGACACATACTCACTCACACTCTCTCACAAACACACGCGTCCCCCCCCCCCTCTGTCACTCACCACACTTCAGATTGCGCTGAAGCTTGTTGGTCCCGAGGGCGTCGTGGTGACGGAGGCCGGCTTTGGCGCCGACATTGGCATGGAGAAGTTCTTCAACATCAAGTGCCGCGAGAGCGGCCTCGTGCCCAATGCCGTGTGTCTCGTCTGCACTGTGCGTGCGCTCAAGATGCACGGTGGCGGGCCAAAGGTTGTCCCAGGCACCCCGCTCGCACAGGAGTACAAGGAGGAGGTGCGTGGCAACACACGCACGTGTATGCAGTGCAGTCTGTGCAACTCGTGCGGTTTGTGCGGTTCATGCGTCTGTTTGCGCGCGTGCGCGTGCACGTTCTTGTATCTGAAGGGTCCTTCTCTCTGTTCCTTTCACCTCCCCCCCCACTTCTTTTCAACCCCCACATCGTGCCACCCTTTGTCATCCCTCTCATTTCATTCCATGTGCTGCACTGCAGAACCTGGAGCTGCTGTCCAAGGGCATCTGCAATGTGGAGCAGCACATCGCCAATGCCAAGAAGTTTGGCGTGCCCGTTGTCGTCGCCATCAATGCCTTCGCGTGAGTGCCACGTGATTGTTGAAGGATGTATTGCGTGCTAGACACTCTACTTCGTGTGAGGATGCACCCTTGCGCGCTTGCTTTCCATCATGCACTGCATCGTCATCTCGCTTGTGTCAATCACCCGCCACATGTCATCATTCTTGCCTTCCCTTGTCCATCCCCACGCCTCCACACATCCCCCAACCCCCTTGACGTTGCTGGGGCACGACGACAGGACGGATACGGAGGCAGAGCTCAACCTCCTGCGCGAGCGCTGCGTTGCTGCTGGTGCTCTGGATGCCGTGGTGAGCAGCCACTGGGCAGACGGCGGCAAGGGCTCTGTCGACCTTGCGCGTGCGCTCATCAAGGCCACGGATGAGCCCTCAAACTTCAAGTTCCTGTACGACACGGAGCTGTCGATTGAGGAGAAGATTGAGACCATCTGCCGCGAAATGTATCGCGCAGACGGCATTGAGATTCTTCGTGAGTTGCGTGTGTGTGTGCATGGGTGTGTGTACGTGGGTGTGTTTGAACACGGTTTTGCGTGCGTGCGTGTAGTTATGGTTGTGCTGATGCACGAACGCAACTCTTGCTGTATGCATCACTGCTCACACACACATACACACATGCACATACACACACACATGCACATGCATGCACATACACACATGCATGCACATACACACACACACGCCAGCTGAAGCCGCGGAGAAGATTGCGCGCTACAAGGCGCAGGGCTACGGCAACCTGCCCATCTGCATGGCCAAGACGCACCTCTCCTTCTCGCACGATGCCACGCTCAAGGGCGCTCCTTCGGGCTTCACCGTCCCCATCCGTGACATCCGTGCAAGCGTTGGCGCAGGCTTCCTGTACCCGCTCTGCGGAACGGTGAGCACAGTGTGCAATGCATGGTGCTGTTGTGTGCTGTACTGTTGTACTGTTGTGCTGTCGTATGTTGTTGATGTGTGTTGCGTGAGCGTGTCCCACTCCCCTCCCACATGCAGCAGCGGCTCATATTTGACCATCAACACGACTCTCCCAACACACATGCGTTTGTGTATGTGTGCGTGTGTGTTCAGATGTCGACAATGCCTGGACTCCCGACGCGCCCGTGCTTCTATGATGTTGACATTGACCCAGAGACAGGCGTCATCTCAGGCCTCTTCTAACCGCAACGCCGGCCCCGCTCATGTGTCAATGCACCCGTTCTTCCACGCGCGCGCATTTGCAATGGCGTCATGTGTATGCGAATGAACGCATGGATGCATGGGATGAATGCGTGCTGGCTGAGGAATGGTGTTAGTTTTCCCATGCAAGTGCCGTCCGTGTTTACGTTTTGTGTTTTTGTGTGTTTGGGGCCGTGCATGCTGACCAGGCTTCAAGCGAGCAAGCTCAATAGTCGTTGGTGTCGTTCCTTAGGATGCCATGGCATGCAGTGTGGTTTACAATTAACACCAGACGGAATACCATGCTCGTAGTTATGTGCAAAAGAAGAAACAACAACACCACCACCACCATCACCACACACACACACACACACACACACTGAGTTGGAAAGGTCAGACAAGGGAAAAGCCCTCTGTTTCCTGGATCGCCTGCAGCAGTTTCTCTTTGAGACGCTCTTTCGAGGTGTACACGGGGAGGTCGAGTACGTTGTAGCAGGTGTGCGCAGCCGGCAGCCTCGTCTGTCCGCATGCACCCATCACAACTCATATGAGAAAAGCAAAGTATGCAAGAGCGGGCGGACGGACAGATAGACAGACAGACAGACACAGCGCAGCCCGTTTTCCCACCTCGTCGGTGCCGGCCTTTTGGATGATGATCTGAATGGCAGAGGCGCCGCGAACAGGAACCCGAGTGCTGCCCGTCAAGAAGGCGAGAAATCGCTTCTTCATCTGTCCAGGCAGTTCGTGTACGACCTCCCAGAACCTGTTGCCAATCACAAACGTGTGTATGAGTGGGCTCCGATGTGCAAGCGGCACACTGGACAGTTCTGCGGATGTGAACATGGTCGGGGGTTCACGACATGCACACAATCAGACCAGCAAGCAACACATGAAACACAAACAAACAAACCACACACGCACGTGACATTTACAATCAACCAAACCACACACGCACATACAAACAAACAAACAAACAAACAAACAAACAAACAAACAAACAAACAAACAAACAAACAAACAAACAAACAAACAAACAAGCAAGCAAGCAAGCAAGCAAACAATACACACCACTTGATGACATCGTCGTCTGGGCTGAAGTTGACGTATTTCGCCACCTTCTCCACATCTTGCAAGTTCCACTCGGGATTTCCGCACAGAATCACTTCAAGTTCCTCCGGTCGCAGCATGCGCAGCGCTCTGTACATTCATAATATGTCGCCAGTTTGAAAGTTGATTCATCGCCAATGATGTCAGTTGGCGTGAGTACTTGACGTAAGGGTCAATGTCGAGCCGACATGATGTGAAACAAAAGTGGCAGAGGAGGCGATTGTGTTGGGCGACAGTGAAACGTGTGCGCACAGCAAGTAAGCGGTAGCACAGACAATGTCAGCGGGAGAGGCGCTGACCTTGTACCCTGGCAGACAGTCAGGAAGCCTTGCTTGAAGGCATCAAAGGACGGGGCACAGCGCTCGTAAAGATAGTAGTTGACATACAGGCGCACATACTCCTCCTTGTTGAAAAAGGTGACCGGAATGTCCTCCCCGCCCTCCTGTACAAACATTAGGCCACAAACACGAGCACACGTGGTGAGATCGTATTCAGGCGGCGGAATAGACAGGCAGACAGATGGACAGACAGGCACAGACACAGACACAGACAGACACACAGACACAGACACAGACACACAGACACAGACACAGACACAGACACACAGTCACACACACCATCCCCCCCCACACACACGATATCTTTGAACAGGATCCGTGGACCTTTCGTCTCCTCAGGCCAATCATACCCTCGTTCACGCATCACAGCACAGACCTTCAGGGGGTGGGTGACAAGCTTTGTTCGCATCTTTCGCGGCTTGCTCGCTGAGGGGGTCGGCGTGGGCGTTGTTGAGGATGGCGTTTGACTCGTTGACGACGATGACGTTTCTTGAGTGCCGTTTGGTTTCTGCTCGTCGGAGCTCTCCTTGTCCGGTGGCGGCGTCTCAGCGGTGTTCATCTCGCCAGCACCCTCATCACCGGCGCGTTCACCATCCATCTTCGCGCTGCCATCGTCTTGCTGTTCCGTTGCCTCCCCTTCACTCGTATCCATGGCCTTCTCTGAGCCCGCATCAGCAGAGCCACCACCGTTGTTTCCGCCTTTGGAACGCGTTTCAGTTTCTTCCTCCTCTCGTCTCTGTTCCTCCTCTTCCTCCACCTCCTCCTCAACGGTGATCTCAAACGTGAGCCCAAACACATCTCGCTCGTCCTGTCGGTCGTACTCGAGCAGCTGTCGCAATCCACGCGCAACTTCCGGCGCAGCCGTCTCCAGATCGTCCAATGTCAACGCATCCCCTGCAGCAAACACCATTGTTCATGCGCGTGCAGATACGCGGTAGTATAACGGGCGCGAAGTTGAGATGTTGCTGGCTGTCACCACAGCATCATCGACAGAGCGCTTCAGCGCACACACATACACATACACATACACGCACACACGCACACACACACACGTACACACACACACACACACGCACACACACACACAACTATATATGCACACACACGTACATGCACACACACACGTACATGCGCCCACACTGACTGACCTTTGCTGAGATCAACGAGGAGCATCTTGTAAAACACCTTGGGGAAGAGTGGGTCCACCAGCACAGAGTTGTGGAGCGCCAGCCCAAACAGCAACCCCATGGCATGGTACGCCTTGGATGGTGATGTCGACAGTGCCATCAAAATACGCCAAGTAAGGTGAGCTGAGATGCACACGTAACGACACAACGGATGAACCATGCTCTGCATGGTTCACAAACAAACAAACACACACACACACACACACACACACACACCTTGAGGCGTTCTGCTGTGGGTGTGGAGAACCAGAACCAGCGCACACCGTCTCGCGCGAGGGGGCGGAATGCCCGCGAGATGATCTTGGGCAGAATGAGCTGGAAGTATTCCTTCACCTGCACAATCATGGAATGGAAAGGAAAGGAAACAAATCGACAGGTGCGTGCATGTGGAGGGTGCGTTGCATGTTATGGAGCGTGTTGGAGACACCTACAAGTCTGTTGTCGTACACATGCACACGGAGGTAGATACACAGACAGGTAGACGTGCACACACCTGAAGTAAAACCCTGTGTGGCACACACACACACACACACACACACACACACACACACACACACACGCACACACACACGGAGACAGAGGCACATCGACTTGCACGTACCAGGCCGCCTTCATCGACGCCTTCTTCGCCCTCAAAGTGCACACGAAGTGGAAGAGTCCATGCCCGCATCGGGATTTCGTTCAGCTGCTTCATCGTGTCCTCGTACACATGTGTGCGGCGGATGGTCAGTTTCAAGAACGTGAGTTGCCCTGGAAACGTACATGAATGGGCGTGTGAGGGCGATAGAGGTGTAGATATGGCGTGAAGGAGGCAGGTGCGTGGGCGCTAGCGTTAATGTGTGCACAAAACAACTCACGCGCAGATACGCAGAGACAGAAGAAGACAAACGCAGCCACAGAGGCAGATAGGCAGACAACCGCAACAACCAATCGATGCATGCACAAGCAGACCACACACACACACACACACACACACACACACACGTACCGGACATGAGGGCGTGCACAGCGAGCTGGTTTGCCATCATGGCAATGTTGCCGTCGTGAAGAAGGTCTGCTTTGACCGCGGGCGTGAGGAGGAAGGGAAACATGCAGTAGGAGAACACATTCGAAGGCGCACGCATCCACTGAATCAACGCAGCCATCTTCTCCTTGGTCGACCCAATCTAGCAGCATCATTGCAGCATGTTTGCAAATGTGGATGTGTACGCGAATGTGTATGTGTGTGTATGTGTGTGTTATTTGTGTGTATGTGTGTATAAGTGTGTATATGTGTGTGAGCGCAAGAACCAGCAAACTGATGGTTGTGCGAAGAAGTGGCTGAAACAAAATGCCCGCAGCCCGCTTGTGCAGCATATGCTGCGCGTGTCACAAAGCCCTACGGACCGTCTCGTTGTAGAAAGTGTCGTAGCGAATGATGGACAGGCGCTCGTTGCCTGCATGCATCCACGACAGCGTCATCGCCGTGAACAGACGCGACTCCACGGACGACGGTGTTGTCTCCAGCAGCGTGAGGTAGTTTTGCAGCACCTGCACATGCGTTTGTGACCAATACGTCAGCCAAGGCGAGAGCAGTGTGCGGGTATCGCCCAAGACTTTCTGTACAAGCGACGTTGTCACACGGGCGCGCGCGCAAACACACACGCACACTCATACACACAGACATACTCGCACACACACAGAAACACACGCACACTTGCACACACACGCACACACACTCGCACACACACACACACAGACGTGCACACCTTGACTGCTCTGAAGAAGAAGGAATCTGCAACATCTTTGTACATCTCCATGATAGCGGGCTTGATGTCGTCTGGCAGCGGCGCCAGGAACTGCACAAGAGCACCAAGGATCGTCGAGCACTGGCTGGCCCTGTTCACACAGCGACGTACCGACAGGCAGAGAGATGTTGCATGTGAGGTATGTGCGTGGGGGTACGTATCAGCGTCAGCGCTTGTGTGTACGTGTGCGGCAGCGAGATGCCCCAAGTGGGATCAGCAGAAAACACCACACACAAGGAAAGGTGGCAACGCAAAGGTGCAGAATAACAGAGTGGAGTGCAGCGCGGGTTAGGCAACGCACTGCAAAAGGAAGGGAAACTCGAACAATACGAGCACGAAAGCGAAGTCGGCTGCAACGGTCAGGTTGTTCTGCTTGACCTGCAATACCAGTGACCGAATGCTGCGTTCAACCGCTGTCATGCACTCGTCTGGCGCGCGCATCAACGCCTGCGGTGACAATGGCGGCGGCGGCGGCGATGACAACGCACAAATAGGGTGTGTGCGTGCGTGCGTGTGTTTGTATGCAAGAGGGTGTGTGTGAGTGTTTGTATGCAAGAGAGAGAGTGTGTGTGAGTGTTTGTATGCGCGCGCGCGCGCGCGAGAGAGAGAGAGAGAGAGAGAGAGAGAGAGAGAGAGAGAGAGAGAGAGAGTGTGTGTGTGTGTGTGTGTGTGTGTGTGTGTGTGAGTGTGCAAGGCAGCCTTGTGTCGAAAAACGAAAATCGCAGCATGTACACCCAGATTGCATACAAACGCGCACGAATGCAAACGAAACTGGGGAGACGCTGGCAGGGTACCTCATATGTCAGACGAACAAGTTCCATGTTGATGATGGGACGGGCGGAGCGCGGGTGGCGCGCAGCAATCTGCGCACCGCCAAAATACAAACCGCAAGCAACGATGAGGAGATGACTCAATTGTGCACGTGTGCGGTCAACATACAGCCAACACACACACACACACACACACACACACACACACACACACACACACACACACACAAGAGGATGGCGCCAATAGCGAACAAACAAGCCCAAACACTGTATCAGACCCGCTCGTAATGGACAAAAGCGGCGTTGAGGCAGGCCGGCGAGGAGAAGAACAGCTCAATCTGTGTGATGAGGGCGCTCGTGGACGTGGCCTGGAGCTTCTCAATCCGAAACGGATCCAGATAGCACAGCGCAGGCGCACACGCCCTGACGAGGTGGCGTGACATGAGCAATGGTGAGCAGCTGCACGTGTTGGTAGAGACTCTTTGGAAACAAACAATAAGCATTCACACAAACACACACACACCTGCACACGCACACAGACACAGAAGCAAATAGCGCACCTGTGCGGGGTGTGCTGGTCTGGCTTGACGGGCGGGAAGCTCCGCTTTCTTCGCAGCATGGGCGACGTCTTGGGAAGAAATTGCATGCTGCCTCGTGACATCGGCCGTGCGTCTGCGTTTGGTTCCGCCCTGGCCGCTGTCGAAGTGCCGGCATTGCCGTCGGCAAGACCGTCTGATTTCGATGACGTGTGTGTGCGTGCGTGTATGTATGTGTGTGTGCGTGCGTGTGCACATGTGCGTGTGTGTATGTGTGTGCAACATGTGAGTACCGCAATACAAGAGTGGGGGTCCCAAGCATGACATTGCGGTGAGTCCAGCACACCTTCGATGAGCGGCGGCGTGCCATCAATCGCCGCGTCCCTGGCGACCAACCACACACAACATCGGCAACATAAAACATCATCGGAGAAGATGAGTCGGCAAAACACAACGGAGGCGGCGTTTTGCTCTCCATCCCACACTTCACACGTGCACACCATACACTGGCAAGGACATCACACAGCCTGTGCATGCATGTGTGTACGCACTCTGAGGTGTCCATGGGCGTGTGTTGTTCACCAAAGATCATGATGGTGTGATTTCCACCAGCGATCAGCTGTAAATGCAAAAGCACCAATCATGTGTGCATGTGTGTGTGTGTGCATGCGTGTGTGTGTGTGCATGTGTGTGTGTGTGCGCACTTCTTCATTTGACCAACAAGCAGTGTTGACGTTGTGGTGCGTTGGCGTGAAACATCGACGTGAACAGCGTTTCGCATGTGTGCCCGGCTAGTGAACAAGCCACGCGAACATCGCTCAACACCAGCGCATGCTTGTTTGTCCAGACCTTGATGGGGTGCATGGATGAGATGCGTTTGAGTCGAACTGGGTGGAACAGCTGTGTTCGCTTTGAGGCAGGGTGGTCTGTTGCGATGAAAACACACAACGCATTGTCAGGACGCAGAATTGTGAGAAGGGAACGAAAAAGGCGGGGGTGATGTGTCAACGAAAAAAAAAAGCGTGTGCACAGGTACACCACCAAGTCAGCACGCACTGACACACATCAAACACACAGACATACACACACACACACAGACACACAGACAGCCACACAGACACACACAGACACACACGCGCGCGCACACAGACCTGGGTCGAGGCCGAGCTGGCCCGTGTTGTTGGCGCCAAAGGCAACGGCAACAGTGGCTTGCGCGCCCGTTTCTGTGACGGTGCGAATGAGCGCGACCGTGTGGCGGCGACCCGCAGACACTTCAAGCACCTGCAGCAGCCGGCACAGCGATGGATGGATGGATGGATGGATGGATCATGAGGCGTTAGTTGTATGCACCCATGTTGGTACGTGTACGCTGCATACACACACACATACACACACACACACACGCACACACGCAGGCGGACAGACACGCACGCACACACACACACACACACACACACACACACACACACACGCACACACACACACACATAACTGTGCCCACGTGCATGCATGCACATGACCCACTCTGCCAATCTCGAGGATGTGAGTGATCTCTGTTGGCGCAGCGACGCTGTCTGCCTCACTTCCGAGGCCAAGCTGACCCCACTGGTTGCTCCCCCACGCATACAAATGGCCCGTGCGTGTGCGCGCAAGTGTGTGAAAGTCGCCGGCCGTGACATGGCACACCTGCTTGCCATCGAGAAACCGCACGAGTGTTGGGCGGAAGCGTGCTGTGGTGTCACCCACGCCCAGCTGCCCTTTGCTGTTGCTGCCAAACGCGTACACTTGGTCTGCCCCCGTCACCGCCAGGCTGTACGTGCTGCCCGCAGCCACAGAGACCACCCCTTTGCCCTGCTCGCCGTGGCGAGTGTATTTGGTGTGTGTGTGTGTGTGTGTGTGTGTTTTGGAGGACCGGGAGGGATAAGTGAGTGGAAAAACACGGTCATGTCGAACTCATCGAACCAAGAAGGCAAGCGAACAAGATCACATAGACACGCACGCACGCAACTCAAAAGGAAGGCTCACCCTGAGGTCTGCAATGACTTCAGGCGAGTGCCTGGACACAAACTGCCCGTCGCCTGTGTTGTAGTTGAGGGTGTGCAATCGTGCGAACAAACGTGGCGAGTGTACACGGTGAGGACTTGTATTCTGCCAGTGCAGGCAAACTTGTGCACAAACACGTACACGCATGAGTGCAAACAACACAACGCAACCACTCACACACGCACACGCACACACACACACACACACACACACACACCGAGTTGGCCGTCTGCGCCCTCTCCCCACGAGAAGACACGGCCGTCACGGGTCAGGGCGAGGCAGTGGCGCGTTCCGCAGGCAACGCTGATCACAAACGCATTGCCCAGGCCTTTGACTGGTCGTGGCACGCGGCTGCCTGTCTCCATGGCTTCCCTAGAAGAAGAGGGAGGACAGGAGGGCAAGGGGATGGGTGAACGAGCGAGTGCGTGGCGTGGATACTTGCGCGCAATGGGTGCTGACATATGCAGATTGCTGTACACATTTGCATGCACAAACACAGAGCACAGTTGTCTACACACACACACACACACACACACACACACACACACACACACACACACACACACACACACACACACACACACACACCTGCCAAGTCCGAGCTGGCCGCGCTCGCCACCGCCCCACGTGTACACTTTGCCGGTGGAGTCCACCACCACGGAGAAGTCGAGCCCAACAGCACCAGCAACGGCGGTGATGGTCTCCAGAGGCGTCACGCGCGCCCACTTGTGCTCGTCGCCGCTGCGGCCAAGTTGCCGCCGGTCGTTCTTGCCCGTCGTGTACACCGTGCCTATAAGCGTGAACGTGTGCGAATGAGTGTATGTGTGTGCATGCGTGCATGCGTGTGTGCGTGTGAGTGTGTGGGTGTGTGAGTGTGCGTGAAAGTGTGTGAGCGTGCTTGCGAGAGATAACCGGAGAGGGACAGCGCCTTTGTGGCATATAAAGCTGGGCGCATGCGAAGCGACAGGGTGCAGTTTCGGTGCAGCAGCAGCAGCAGCAGCAGCAGAGCTTGCACAGGTGACAAGTGTCTGGCCAGTTATGTCTCATGCATGTTGTTCGTACCGCTTCGGGTGATGGCCAGGGAATGGTAATACCCTGTGGCCACGAAAGCGAGTTCCTGTTCCAAGGAAGGCACAAGCGTCACCCGCGTTTTTCCCGTTCCATCTGCAGCGCACAACCACATCATGTGCGAGCCATAAGCCGCGAGCGCGTGTGGCTGTGTGTCAATGTGTCTTTTGTGCCTGAACGCGTGTGTGCAGGTTGCGCTCGACAGAGCTGGCCTGTACATGCGCCCAACACAAGTCGTGTCGTGTCGTGTCGTGTTGTGCTCGCTAATACACACCATGTCACACAGACACACCCGCACACACACACACACGCGCGCGCGTATGCATATTGACGCACATTGACACACACCGACAGTCACACACGCACGCACACACACGCACACACACACACACACACCCACACACATACACACAAAAAAAAAAGAGAAGAGGATCCACTCCTGTGGCTCACCTTACAGATTTAGCTCTAACTTGTTCGGGCCTAGTTTGATCGAGACTGTCAGAGCACGCACGCTCCTACACAGAGAAACAGTAATGTGCGCTGTGATTGGTTGGCATTGATATTTCAAACACAGACACACGCTTCTCATCACACACACACACACACAGTGCACTCGCATAGTGGGACGGACACAAGAAGATGACACTCTTTCTCTCTGTCACTCGAACTATATAGCTTGCTCAGCTGGATGCGATAGTGAGGGGACAATCATGCA